TATCTCTACGGCCATTCACATAGTTGTTCACGAAGCGTAAGCAATTACCACAGTGAAGGTCAATCTATAGATAAATTAAATAACCTAATGTTCATCAGTAATTTCGCTCAAAATATAACTCAGCTTACAAAACTTTAATTAATTGACATGACATCCATTACATACTTACATTTGTAACTTTTTTTTTAGTATAAGGCAGGGTGACAAACGAGAACAACACAGTCCATCTAGTTGTCCATCAGATAGTAAGTGGATGCTGTGGCCTATAGATTTTTACATCTGTTTTCGATTAAGAATCAAAATGCAGATGCGTTTTCAGCCCTTAGAACCAATATGGAAAGCCATGTTACCAGCGAAAATGGTCTCCGTTTCTCTATACTTACCATACGAAACACAGAACATTGAGCTGCTAATTTACGCTGGTATTCAATGAGTGCGTGGTCCTTTCCCAATCGAGCCGAGCCTTGCTGCTACAACCATAATATAGCTGCAGCGTGGCTCTACCACGTTAAAACCTATCTATTCTTGCTATATCCATAACGTAGCTGCAACGTGGCATTATATTAGGGTACGTGGTACGTAATACAAGCGGCACCTTCAATTATATGTCTCAAAAAGGTAATTTCGTTGAAATGTGGAATGGCATCTTGACATATGCATTGGAATATGGATTGGAGTTGGCCTAAGATGTAGTTTGCAAATGCAGCAATATTCCATTACCGTGTCTAGAATGTTTTTTTTAATAATTTTATATGATTGAAAGCTTTCCGAAAAACAGCGACACTGTAATATGGAACTTGACACCGCTTACTATATTTTTGTACACATTTAAAACTATAATAAAAAAAATATACGAATTGGTAAATCCAATTGGGCATGCCTTAAGCGCATTAAAAAAATTACGTATAACATGATTATACGAAATTTTTTAAAGTAGTTTAAATACATTCGACAGCACTATCGGCTTCAACACCCTCGAAAACCATGAAAATTACACCCATGATGAAAAAATTGGTACCTACTTCTGCCGCCATCTTGGCTTTACATTTCGACAGCACTATCGACTTCACCACCCTCGAAACCCATGAAAATGACACCCATGATGAAAAAATTGATATCTATTGCAGCCGCCATCTTGCATTTACATTTCGACAGCACTATCGGCTTCAACACTCTCGAAAACCATGAAAATGACACCCAAGATGAAAAAATTGATATCTATTGCAGCCGCCATCTTGTATTTACATTTCGACAGCACTATCGGCTTCACCACCCTCGAAAACCATGAAAATGACACCCATGATGAAAAAATTGATATCTATTGCAGCCGCCATCTTGCATTTACATTTCGACAGCACTATCGGCTTCAACACCCTCGATAACCATGAAAATGACACCCATGATGAAAAAAATTATACCTATTGCAGCCGCCACCTTGGATTTACATTTCGACTGCACTGTCGGCTTCAGCACCCTCGAAAACCATGAAAATGACACCCATGACAAAAAAATTGATACTACTTACTTTTAGTACGTACTACTATTATTTATACTCGTATCTGTGCTTTTTAAATATTGTAATTAAAAAATTTCAATCAAATTATAATCAAGTATTTAAGAAATTGGTTATTCGTATATTGTGTATTTATACAGCGATATTTTTGAGCCGCTGCCAACAACCGAAACAATGTCCACTCACGACGGCGATTGACGCCGAACTGAGTGTGAGTAAACTACTCTGTGACTGTAGCTTCCCATTTACAGAAATAATTTACATACAAGGCTACCAAATCAACGAAAATTTCGCCGTTTTGGAGCCGAAAAAAATTAATTATAGCTAAGTAAAGTAAAGTTGCAGCCTATTTACGTCCCACTGCTGGGCACAGGCCTCCTCTCATTTCTGAGAGGGTTTTAGGGCAAGGAAATGTCCACCGCGCTGCCCCAATGCGTGTTGGCGGACTTCACATGTCGTCGAATTTTTTTTTTTTATTTCTCAGACATGCAGGTTTCCTCACGATGTTTTCCTTCACCGCCGAGCACGTGGTAAATCAGCACTTAAAATTGCAATTAACAATTTCATTGGTGCCGGCGGGGATCGAACCCGGGTTGCTCGAGTACTGTGAAGCTTACAGCGAGCGCTAACCATCTGAGCTACCACGGCTCCTAACCGTCTGAGCTACCACGGCTAAACAAAACAAAATTACACTGCTATTTACATTCAGTGGCTTCCCACATGATAGATGAAGAGATTAAAAATAGACTGAGTTAAACAATTGATATTTTCAAAAGTTATTGTGTTTACAAGCCAAGGGACATGATAAATCCACACCATAAGCCAGTAAAACCCCTTTTTTTATTTAAAAATAGCAATTAATCGATTTAAAAAAAATATTAATAAGTTCAACAATCATTTATCTTTCTAACAATGTGCTTTTTATATCATTTATATGTATAATATGATTGCTAGATACGATTTTATTCGATAAAACGTTGGAATCTTAATTTTTAGGCGATAGTAGAACATACCTTGCGCTTTCGCTTAAGGCATGCAATACAGTCAAGTGTCAGTTAAGAAAATGTTTATATCTAGTTGTAAAAAAAAGCTATTTAATTCTTCTTGACTTGAATAGCAGTCTGCACTGCTGTGTACCGGTCTGAGCGGTATAGGTAGTCAATATAAGTAGAGGCTGTGAAGCATTCCATCTCAGTCGTCAGAGCTGACATTGCCTCTGGAGCCATCTGAAGTTGGTTGCAGGTGTCCACACCATTTGGTTAAAAATTCCGTAGCGTTTTTTAAAAGTAATTTACAAACTTGAACGCTTTCCCGAAAACAGCATCAGAATTCTATTTCTCAATTTCATATACGGCTCGACCAGAATACCGACTCAAAACGACAGCTAAATGCTACTGTTTTGTATGGTGAGTGTAGAGAACCGGAGACCATTTTAACTGGAAACTAGGCATTCTATCTAGATAATCGAGGATGGATGTAGACGTCTTGTAAATATTCCCTTAAGTGGACTGTGTGCTTATTTGTTACCCTCATTCTATAAATAAAAATTTCTCACATACACCTTTTTGAGATCGTATTGTGTGCAGGCTGGTGTTCGAAAATCACTTAAAAAGCATAATGTAAATATACTGAAAATGAAAATTTCAATGAGTATTATTCTAATTCGATTCGAGTCTGACTATAACAGCACCACGGTACAGAAAAAAACAGGGGAGCGTTTAAAGCTACTGTGACTATCATAAACATAAATAAATTTGAGTGTATCTAGTTAGTATCTATATTACTAAGTAAGTCTCAACCTATACAAATAAATAAAATTAAAGTGTCCGTTTGTAATGTCAAAATTACAGTTTTTTACTAAATGCATATGAAAGTAAATATGGTACTTATAACTAAAATACAATTTTTAAAATTTTTGTCTGTCTGTCTGTTTGTTCCGGCTAATCTCCGAAACGGCTGAACCGATTTTGACGGGACTTTCACTGATGTAGATAGCTGATTTCATAGGGAGTAACTTAGGCTACTTAGGCTTATTTTAGAAAAAGAATTAGGGTTGCGCGCAAAAACATAAAAACCCTAAGACGCAGGCGAAGTCGCGGGGAACAGCTAGTGTTATTATAAATTTCATGGGTCGCTGATGCAAGTTCGGCTCGAAGGACCAAATCGATGATAGGTAATTAAATACTATATTTCAAGTTTTAGCGTGTAATTTCGAAAAAAAGTTACCCTTACTTAGCACGCTAGGGAGGTAGGTTGGTCAGTACAACGTCAATACCACCGTTGTCTGCCACCAACCAAAAAGAAAATATTATATTCGAGAAGTCGATCGAATTACATACATGTAGAGCTTAAAAAAATTATAGGTATTGGATCAGCAGCAATGCAAACCATCATTTATGGTTAATTTTATCTCTGTAAGCGTTGTTCTTATAATATTCCATTGATATCCAAACTTCAAATTAATGTAATTATTATTACTTATTGTATAGTATATATTATAGTAGTAGTATTATTATAAAAATGCAAAATTTAAAAAATCTTCTCGTAGATGATTTTGAAATTTGTGTACTTCGAAGAAAACTTTTTCTTTCTTCCTATAATATTCACAAAACTTTTAATTAAAAAAAATGAAAATAAATAAAACATCTTTTAGTAGTATATATAAACCTTTAATACTAGAATTGTTCAATTCGAAATTACATTTAAAATTAAATGCGGCTTGTGAAAATTAGACGATACGAGTGATAAATAAACGAAACACCTATCATAAAGTTAACTAAAAGTTATTGCATATAAGCTTCCCCGCAAATATACTCCAGTTAAGGCATCCGTGTTAACACTTATTTAAGTAAAAGCTAGTTTAAAACTCTCCAACCATTTCATCGATAGTTGTTTACGATTACAAAACTCATCTCATCTCTAAGAGCGGAACTTCAGAGTTGGTAAATGAAAATTAAATATAGTTTTAAAAAGGTGTGGTGTTACATGAATAAACTACCAATCAATATTGTTAATTCGTTAAAATTTATTGTAAAACTATTTATTGTTACCTGTATTAAAATACTCGTTAATATTAGTTTACTTACAAAATTGGCCTTAATATTTAAAATGAATGGTCAACACATAACGTCACAACTGTAAACAGTACATTTTCTAATAGTGTGATGTTAAAAATGTTTATTACCAAAGCTCCGTCGTAAACAACTAACGTACCGAACGATTTGTTATGAAGAAAATTGAATGAATGCTGTTATTATTATTCACTTCGGTCAATCTGTAAAGCATTTTCACGAAAGTCGATAAACCTGTGAATACATTAAATAGTAAAGCTAGCTGTTACTCCGAATTCGAAGTAAATTCTAAACAACGCAGCAATTGTGGATTTAAAAAACCTGAACGTGTCGCGACACATCTCAAAACATTTCCGACAATTTAATCCATAATCGCAAAGAGGATATAGAATACAAGTTGAAGCGACGTGTGTAGATTATTCCTGCGCTGCCATGGCGGCGGGCGCGTTGGGCTCGTTGTCAGTCTTCTTCTTGGAACCGGAAACAATATCGTCGATTCGCAATAGAAGGATCGCTGTTTCCACTGCTGTTTTGTAGATCTGAAACAAGTAATTTTAAACAGGTCAGCAATAAACACTAAAGGCTACTGAAAATGGTACTTGACACAGCTTGCAATAGTATCAAATTATTATCAAAAAGTAAAAGTATCAGTTAAGAATATGTTTATAACAAATTGTACAGTCAAATTCTAAAATATAAAAACAATTTAATCAATAATATCACAATTTCTTTCAGTCACTCATACATACATTTACTAGGTCTGGGTTCATTAATCCATCTCTTACCTATTTCTGCTGCCGATTAGCAGTGTTTGCATTGCTGTTTCGGTCTGAAGTGTATAGAGCCAGTATAACTACAGCTTTGACATCATAATTATCAGTGGTGACTATACCCTTCTGAAGTTGGTTGCAGATGTGCATGGGCTGTAAAGGTTACCAATTACCATCAGGTGGACTGTAAGTTCGTCAGTCACTTTATTTTTATTAAAAAAAAATATCAAAAAGTCAACGGTCCCCCATATTTGCCATAGTTGCTAAAGTTGGCAGGCGGGTCGATAGCCGCAGTTTTTTTAATATTTTGTAATGCAATCGAAATATAGGAAAACGCTGCTGCTCATATCTTGTTTCATCTTTTCATCTCCCTCTGTCGCCCCTTACGATAACCACGAGATGATATTCACGGTCAAGTATACCGTCAAGAATACTGCTATATCTGTCGAAAGCCATAACATCCTTGTGACATTTCCCATAGTCGCTTTCGACGTCCGCGTCACGAAATTAGGTTCTGGATTCTCTTATGCCGCCCAGCACGGTAATTCATGTAACCAATTATTTGTTTTATAAATAAAGCAAGCTTTGTTAGTGTCGAAGTTTCAAATCGATCCTTATTTACTAGTTAGTCACCACACGGTTTTCGCATGTGCACAAATCCTTGCCGTTTGGTAGTGGTATAAGAAAATCAGTCACTACATTTGACCCGAGGGTGTCATAAGAGGAGGCTATGAGAAATGTTAGATAAAATCGTATAACTTTCGATAGACGACAGTATAACTATTTCATTTAAGTAAAACGTAAAACACCCACTTAAAACAACAGCGATTAAAGCAAAGCCTGCCTATATATAACTCATAGTCGGATGGAATGATAGTTCGACACGACCGGAGAGAGATCACGCGAAATCGACGGTTTTACTTGTTTTCCCGGGCAAACGCCGCCAACTTATTGACTTCGGGCTATTAGAATTTCTTATTAGATAATTTCTTGATGGAAAACTTAAATACTGATTAATTATACATTTGATAACTATAAAAAGTAATTAATGTATTTAATAACCCACATAACCAAAAAAATGTTTTTTATGTGGGTGGGATCTATTAATGTAGCGTTATTTAGATTTAAAATAAAATCATCAATAATTATCAAAGACCATTGATTTTTTAAGTTGTTCGATTATTCAAAAAAAAACCATTTGTCGAAAAATTTACAGCCAAATAACTCCTGTCATTGCTCTCTTATCTGTTCGTGTAGTTTCATAGCAATTGGCTTGGCCATTCCCAAGATTGGCCCAGACAGATATAGACAGTTATTTTTTTAAATCGATAATCATGTTTTAATAGAATGCTAGCTTAAACGAACTCTCGAAAGAAGTCAGTTTTTTCTATATTACAGACAGACATTTTAATTTTATATATACAGTGAAACCTGGATAACTGGGACCTTAAGGGAGCTGCAAATTTGTCTTAGTTAAAGAGGGATTCCACTTAATCAGTGTCTCAAATATCCAGGTATAAATAAATATCTGTCTGATTTACAGAGGGTTCCAGTAATAGAGGTTATTTCAGTTATAGAGGTGCGATTATTAAATAAAATAACGTATTTTGTAAACATAATACATAAACATCCGGACGATAGCAAAACCAAACTAAAACTGGAGATCACTTTTACACAATTAGCCAAGTGTGGAATTTGCGGGTAGAATAAGAATTACTAAACAAAACGGTACACAAACTGGTAGAATAAGAATTACTAAACAAAACGGTACACAAACTATAGTCTCAGTAAAAGAGGTAAAATATACTCGCTGTCTCAATTATAGAGGTAATTATGACAAATAAAATCGAAAGAACTAATCCCTAAAATATAGTCTCAATAAGAGGTAAAATACACTCGCTGTCTCAATTATAGAGGTAATTATGACGACAAAATCGAAGAACTAATTCCAGATATAGAGGTTTGTTTTGTCCTGGTAATTCAGTGCTAAAGTGTCGGGACCTGAGCATGAGTTCCAGCTATGGAGATTTCTCACTTATAGAGATCCCACTTAACCAATTTTCACTGTATGTATAGATGCACTTGTACCACATGTACTTTGTCCCGAGCTGGTACCACAACTAGACTAACACGCTCAGTATATCGCTCACGCTCAGTAAAAATAAGAGGCAGTAAATGTTAGGACATTGGGCGGCGGCAGCAGCACATACCTGCATCTTGACCGCGAGCGGCTCCCATATGGCGCGCACGGCCATGTCGACGATGTCGCCGGTGTCGCCGTCGATGCCGGCGCTGCTGGCGCCCGCCGCGTGGCGCGCGCGCAGCGCCGTCAGCGTGCGGATCGTGTTCGCGCCGCAGTTCTGCGCGAGCGTACGCGGGATTATCTCTGCCAAACGACAATATTATACAAAGTTTTGGTGGGTACTTAATCGCCGGCAGATTGTTGCTTTTCTACAGACTTCAAAAAGGAGAAGGTATTAAATTCGACTGTACGGTTTTTTTTTTAAGTGTATTACCTCATAACTTTTTCCTCAGTAAACCGATTTCGATGATTCCTTTTTTATTTGAAACCTGCTGCCTGTCATCCCATATAAATTTGGTCAAGGTCTGACCAGTAGTTTTTGAGGTATCCTTAAAAATTTATATTGAAGTAGGTTGTACAACATTTTTCATTTGAATTATATTTTATCGTTTGAAAAATGACTTCCATTTACACTACTAGACCGGCGATTCGAAACAAAAACTGTGTCACAGTTGCGGACAATACGAGCCTAGCGGGCTTGGCGGTTTGCTGCTGGCCACGCTAAATATGCCACGCAATTGTATTTTCATTCATGATATTTACTGTTTGTAGGCAAATACGATTTTAAAATAATAAAAACTTATCTGAAATAAACATCAAATCACGTTGAAAAAGTGCATACATAAATAATAACAGCGTTTTCTTGGTGAAATGAAACAAAATCCATGTTAGATTGTTGAAAACATGGTTCACGATTTTAAAAAAAACTCATCTTCTCCGGCCGCTCGCAGTCGAAGGTCGAAATCGAAGGAGTGATGGAGGAGAATTGACCGTAACTTAGTGCGCAATGTATTAAGTCCGCAAATATCGTATTAAATAATAATATTAGTAGTATAAATACAAGTCTGTGCGTTTGATTAATAGTCTGAAATGGATTTTAAAACTTCGCGATATTATCTGCCATCGATATATTAGAAAGAAATTTTAAAGGATAATTTCTTCTTACTTGACACTGGCAAAAGTAACAATACGAGTCCATTACCAAAGAAAGGATATTTTACTCATATATGCCTACTTATTTCTGTTCATGGCTATTTGGCAAGCAGGTATGGACAGGTAAGTCAATATAGGTAATTAAACCAATATGATAAACAATAAAAAAAAAAAATTCGGTTTCGTTTATCAAAACTGTGAAGGTATGAGAAAAATAGATTAAAATTAATTTAATTAAAAATAGCCATGAACACTTCAAAAGGCAAGCTATTATTATAGGCGTGTTTATAAATCAATAAAATTTCGTAAAACATAGGTCTCATCTGGTTATCAGATGGGTGAAGGTCGATCTCCCACCGCCACTACACGGTAAAGTTTAGTGTAGTAGTGGCCAACTCATATAAGAATTGCCAGAGATGAGACAATATGGAACTGAGAGATGGTCCTTTACTGCTGACCGTTTGAAGTTGCTCAGGGAGCTATTGAGAAGATTTTAGTTTCTACTTTCTGTAGAAAATATCCACAGTAGAACCAGAGTAACCGACATAGTCCAAACGATCATGCTGAAGTGGCAATGGGCCAGCCATATAGACCAAATCGATAATCAATGGGAAAGAAACTACCTCGAGTGGCAGTCTCGTACTGTAAACGAAGTGTGGGACGGCCCCCCATACGTTGGACTAACTAAATGATGATACCTGCAGGCAGTAGATGGATAATACATTTTAATAATGTCCACTAGACCGAGTATTGGTCACGGCGGCCAGTCTCAACGGGCACTAGCCATCTGCGCAGCACATGATTATAGTGCACAGAATACTTTACTCCTAGCGGAGATTATAGTGTGGCCGTAGTTCGGAGCAATTCTATATATACTGCATTTACTTCGGAACTTTGATATCGCGATTTAGGCTTCGATGTGTTTCGCTTGTGGCGCGACGACAGCGCTGCCACAATAGTACACGAGTGTGTCACAAGCACAGGTGTACTCTCTATTTCCTCACTTTCATTGTCAGAGGAGATCAAGTGCAGGAACAACGGCTTTACGGGCTTCTATAGGAGAGGCCTATGTTCAGCTGGATTTGTAATTAGCTATGTAGTGATAATGATAGTAATGGTGATTTTTTTACCAAGTGCCTGGGCCACCGCACGGTAGGGTGTGTTGTGTGAGGAGTTCGCGGTCAGGGCAGCGGATACCGCCATCTCCACCGCACCACCTCCCGGTACGAGACGCGGGTTTAAAACCTACAACAGTAAAATATTCATATTGTTAGATATTATTTATAAATTGAGCGTCTCCACAAGGCGCCTTGTACTGTGCAACGCATGGAATATTAAAAACAAGAGGAATCTCAAAGTGGATGGAGCACGCATGCCACAAATAGGCGCAAAACTGCATAATTGACTGTCAACTGACAGGCAATTAATATACAGGCTAATATTGCCAAAAGCTGATGTGTTAGTAGTAGACAGAGTAGAAGTGTTTGTTGTCTAATTATACGAACTAATAGTTGGTGCGTTTTCAAACTGATCTCTGTGTTACTGCGGCATCTCATGTTAAGTAGCTGAATTTGCTCGTAAATCCTGGAAATTTTTTAGACTGAATGAAATTGATCTCTATTTATAATACCTTATGGTTCGTATACAAACTGATGGCGAGAAACATAAAACATTTCTCTGCTACCTTATTTCTTAATAGCCAAACACACGAAAATTATTAAAATGTTGCACAACTGTCGTCGGTACACATTTTTTCCCTTAGTAATGTGTGAGTCTCTAATACAAATTATGAGCTTTGGCATTTCCTCTTGTTTTTTTTATATTCCGTGGTTGAGCGGTAAAAGGAGCCTTACGTGTTTACAGTTACTCTACGGCTGAATTACATACTCAAATAAAAAGCCTAAGATTTGTTATAGTTGTCCTAAACTAGGAGGAAAATAACAAATAATGTAATAATAATTCACAATATTATAAATAAATTAATCTCACCAAATTCTTAGCGACATGCAAAGCATCCTGGAGATTCCTCTCAATTTCATTTAACACATCCTTGGAAGCCCCGCGCAATAGGATTGTACAGGCCTGAAAAAAGAATTTCGATTATTAAAAACTCTTGAAGTAATTTGTTTCTTTACCTTACCTGCACACAAAAGGTAAGTAGATAAGAAAATTTATTTGTTCCAATAATAATGGAAATAGTTTAGAGAAGTTTAAAAGTAACGAATTGAAAAATATTGCATTAGTGATATTATTGCTCCGTGGCACAGTGAGTTGTTGCGCTGGGGGCCGCGGGTTCGAATCTCGCACGGAACAAGTATTTGTATGGCCTACAAATAATTGTTCCAGGTCTGGATGTTTGTCCTCGTGCAATCTATGTTTGTAAACTGCCTCCATGGTACAGGAGAAAATCCTAGTGTGGGGGTAAAGTTTTTTTTAAATTAAAAAAAAATCATATCTTGTGCTATATATGGTTATTTTACAATAACCGGCCAAAGGAGACAATTTCTTTTTGTATGGAAAATGGGCCCACCACGAATTTCAATGAATTTTAATGAAATGTATATCTATTTATTCCTTATAATCTATAGATTACAAAATTAATATTAGTTTTATCGCATCTAATGGGAATTCTGAGAAATTAATAGTTGAAATATGAATATCACAATAACCTTAAAACAAACTAAAAGCGATTTTCTAGTAGTTTTCACAGATATTATGAGTTAGAATAGTGTACATAGAATAGAATAGCTTATTAATTAATAGTATTAAACAAAGTTGTATGTATATTCAGCAATTATAGGTACTTTAAGAATGATGGAAAACTCTTTTAACACTTCCTTCACAGACAAACAAACGTAGTGTGGGGCTATTTTTTACAGGTATTTGATTAGTGAATATACATCACAAACACCATTAAATTAATTAAATAAATATGATTAAAGACAAGATGAATAACGGATAATATGACCATTTATAATATTACCTTTACATGCTATATAGTAAGAAAGATGTGTTGAACTGGTTGTATAAGGTTAAACACAAAGTAAAATGCCACTGCATTTATCGTTGTAATTACTTCCAAAGCAGTCTATTAATAGTGGAACAGATAGGTGCAGTGTCAAGACTAATATGTTTTGGCTGAATCAGTAAAGGTGTAGTGTGTAAACTTTGTTTTAAAATATATTAACTGATTAGTTATCATACCCCAAATACCATTAAAGCCAACATGACTAGGTAATATATCATGCTTATCTGTTATCTTATGTTATTACACACATAAATATGAACTAAGATGTTTTAAACTGGTTGTGTAAGGATAACAAAACACATGTTTAATTTAATTGTAATATTTAATTTTAAATTAATTGTATTTTATGATGTTATTATTGTCAGTCATTATCATTTCAAAATAACTTGATAATAACATAACAAAGATATTTTTAATGTTATAAGATATGATATATAACTATTGTAGTTGTATTCAATATCCATATACTTTTTTGTCTCTGCCTATGAGCAGCTCTGCAAGACTTCAGCCTACAAGACATTTATTTTAAGCGATTCACCTGAAAAAAGTAATGAACATTGTATATATTATTTTTTCTGTATTTATTGCTATCTAAATAGCATGTGAGGTCTATGTTTATGCTTGTATTGGTTTACATTTCGAACACTAATAAATCAAAAAAAACACGTCCACGTATGATATTATTGTTAGAAATGATGACATTTTCAGTAATAAGAGATATGAGATAAGATTATGTATATACTATACTTCAATGTCAATAAACTACATTTCCATATTTCTGTCAGTATTTTGTTGTCTCTGCCAGTATGTTAAATAAATAAGAAATTGTTATAATATATACACCATTAATCAGCTCCAGATTACCAAATATACACAAGTAGTAATTATGGATTTACATCAACAATATTTAACTATGTAAAACTTGGCTGACTTCTTATTTTCACTGGCTTGATGTAGGGGAAAGGATATTATTTTTATATCAGCTATATGATAGTAGATTACAAAATAATGTTCCTTTTTGCAGAGCTAACAACACAAGGATATAACCATTACACGAGTAAAAATGGCTTAACTAAGTTACAATACTTATGCAAACTGTATACTTGCTTCTAGTGCAAGTAATTACTACTTATTTATACATAAATATATGTACTATCTATACTGTCTATCTACTGTGGCTGGCATAAATTCATGATCCATGTTTGATGCCATTTGGTATTATCAAGTTTATGGAGCAACTTGCTGAATACGTAAGGTATTTGGTATTATCAAGTTTATGGAGCAACTTGCTGAATACGTAAGGTATGTATACCTAAATACAGTTAAATAAATCGCTCTACAAAGTCGATGAAGCTACATCAAATCGTTTTATTCTAATTTTCTTTTAACAAACACAAACACTTCTTTCATGTATTTATTCTATCTATTATTTAATTTAGATTTTACTAATAACATAAAACTTTAATACTTTGTCACTATTAACAAGGTTCTAAGACCTGTGGTCTCCATATTATGTTAAACACTAGTGCATCGATGAGACGATATTTATTTTATTTTCTTGTAAACAAACAAGTATAATTAAACTTTTTTGCTATTAACTAATTTTGCTACCAAAAATTATTTTATCATATATAATATTAACAATTACAGTTAATCACAGACTATATTCTTACAGTAGTGATGCAACTCGAATCAAGTAATCGATATAATCAAGTAAATTTGTGTAACTCGGTACTTGAGTGAAAATAAATTTTACCTGAGTCTGCTTGCACTGGAGTTACCGAGTCAACCTGACGCACCGTGTGGGTTCGGAGAGCACAAGATAGATGTCAGTTCACTAATCAACTAATTCACATAGTATAAGGCGCCGCGGGTGACGTCACTGGTTACATCGAAATTCAAACTTGTATCTTGGTATGTTGTAAACAAATATGAACTTAGTTTGATTTATAATATCTTGATTGTGCTATCATTTTTGTTTATTTTTTGTTACTTCGTATAAGCAGTGCATAACATAAAAGATGATTTAAACATACTTGTTTGTTTGTAATATCAGTGATAACAATGACGCAGCAAAACAAAAATCTTCAGTGTGGCATTATTTAAAAAAAAATCGAGATGGAAGCCATGGAAGCGATATATGTAAGAAGCAGTTTATAGATTTTGAAATACTACAGATATGAAAAAGAAGCATGGAAATACTACAAATATTTGTTTTTTTTTTATTTCACATTGCCACATTTTACATTTTTAATAAAGGTACCTATTTAAAAATGCTTTAACTAAAATATCGCTATTCTCAACTCGAGTGATAAACTTCAATGGATGCAGGGACTGTAAATAGTCTGTTCGAAGTGACATGATAAATTATTATTAACTCGCGTTACTCGAGTCACAAAATTCTACTTGAGTCGCATCTTTAACTTACAGTCAATGCAGTGTCTGTCTGGAATTTAGTGATTAACTCAACTTATTAATTCGAACAATTTATTGATATATTATGTAATATTAATAAACTGATTAAGTATAATTGTCATAAATCATCATCATCATCATTACAGCCCTTCACAAGTCCACTGCTGAACATAGGCCTCCCCCAAAGAATGCCACAAATATAGCATGTGAGGTCTATGTTTATGCTTGTATTGGTTTACATTTCGAACACTATAAAGCAAAAAAAACACGTCATGTCATAAAGTTAGAGTAATATTATTTTATGAAGATTGTCGATACGCAAACCAAAAATATATAACTACGTATTAAGTTTAGTAATAATAATTATGTTGGAAGGAGTACAAAATATAAAAGTAATTTGTAACAAACTGACATAGCTTCCTTCAGCCAATTCGAGTTGTGTAACTCGAGTACTGTTCGACTCAATTTAACTCGCATCGAGTTTCATCCGATTTAGCACATCTCTACTACAATTTTGTTTAATATTACATTAGCAGAACCAATGACCTGAACACAAATATCAAAACAATTCTTTTTTTCTGATTTCTTGATTCCGTTTAGATTTTCACAAAGTTTGTAGGCCATTTACTATATTAAATTGGTATCTTTTTTTTTGTGACATTAACATTCATTAAAATTTCTAGTGGGCCCAAAAACGACTGTCTCCTTTGCAGAGAAGCTTCAGATTAAGTAATATAGGCATAAGTTTATGAATGTAAGTGCATACAATAGTGAAGGAAAATGAAAAAAGAAATCCAACAATTCTGTCCTTTTTATGTTTTAAATTCCAAATGTGTGGTAATGCATTATTTTAACTGATTTTACTGGGCACGCACACATTCGTAATGGTCGATCGGTAGGCAAAAACTTTGTTGCCAAAAACTCACATCCAATTTGGAATAATTTCAAATAAAAGTAGAATCCTTATTTACCCATATTTTCAAAAACTGCAATAAATATATCATTATTTAAATATTTGAACTTAAGTTTAAAAATTGGCTACTTTTTGAAAAATAACCCTGTATATATCCCGTAAAGAAAAAAATTGTTTTATATTATAAAAAAATTAAGCATGTTAATATTTTCTATAACATAGTTAGTATCTGTGAGTTTTGAGAATACTATAAACATAAAAACATTGCTCACCTTAGGGTTCTTGCATTCCGTGACAAATGTGAAGTACTCGTCCCCAATCTTCTTGACTTCGAACTTGCCTGCTGCAGTACCAACATCGGACTCCTTCAACTCTTCCGTACGGTTCACTATCGTCGCCCCACATGCACGCGCTAGACGATTGTTATCAGTCTTACGTAGCCTTAAAATAGAGAAACAGGCATTTAAATTTTTGAAATAACACTAATTGCAAGCTATATCTACTTTATGGAAATTTACTAGTGAGTTTTACTACTAAAACTTGTCAAGTATACACACACAATAATTATTAGCGTTTATTTCATTGGTTGTGTACTTCTCATTTTGATCTTAGTTTCTAAAAAAATAATTAGGTTAGAATTATTCCATTCTTACATTTGTATTTCAGGTCAATCCTCAGCTATTTCTTTGTTAATGATTCTGGGTTATGAGGATGAGTGGCAATGTGTCAAAAACTTACATCAAACTTCCGACACCCTACATAACCTCCTTGAATGTTTTCCCATAGACAATTTACTCCTAAAACTAATCCCCAAAATAAAATTCAGCTTTTTTTGTAGTTTAATTTTATAATAACAGATCTCTAAAGAAAATTACATGTGTTTTATACAGAGTACTCTTTAGGTAATATTGGCAATAAATAAAAATTGACCCATTTTGAACTATTACAATGTGACATAATATATTCATCATACATTATAATATCATATCATCTCCATTATCATCACATATCATTACCACTGCAGCCCATCACAAGTCCACTGCTAGGAAAGTTGGTGAATGCTGAACCAATATTCTTCCTTTAGTTATGCTGCTCCCCATTACCAGTCTCGTCATTTCTGTTCATTGTTTTTGGAATAACTGTCAGAAGGTTGCATAATGTGCAGGTGAGGAAAAAGCATTAAGCTGCGACTTTAAATCCGCGGTAACTAGTATCTAAAATTCAAAAGTTCCTCGACTACAGACACCGCAAAATTTAAAAAATCAGTTACCGTCGAATTGCAGTGATGCCGGCTTTAACGAGGTAGTGTTGCGCCAAGTCAGACACACCCTTCTCAGTCACGACGACATCTGGTTTCAATGCAATGATGTCTTCGCATTGACGCTGTACAAACTCCTCTTCCAATTGCAGCAGCTTGGTGAAATCCTGTGAAGAGCATAGTGTTTTTTGTACATTTTTTGACCACCTTTTTTTATTTGAATATAATGTAACCATAAACATGCAACAATATCACAGGAAAGGTTAAATTATATTGATATAATACTAGAAGACCTTATGCAGTATGTGACACAATTCAAAAATCAACTATGTTGATGCATTGAGGCAAAAAAATAACTAAACATTTTACTATAAACGTAAATTGAAAGGGTTCGTAATATTTCACTATAACACATTGACAGTCAATAGGGCCTAATGCGACGTAACGGCCGTGTTCTACTCGTACCGATACAAACTGTCAAGTTTTCGGCGATTTTCGACGTAAACTTCTGACTGGAGTCTAGGTATTTTATTGGGATTATGAGCAAAGACTAAGACATAAAATGTTTTTAGTTTTGATATTATGATAATATTCAAAACAGCAATAACAAGATCCAACTTTACAAGATTAACACAGTTAACTTTTGTTGCTTGGTTTCAAGTAACGTTCACAGGTTTACCCACTGCAATCAATCTTTTGCAGCAACATATACATCTTTTCCTTCATGCTCGGTTTTAAGGTTCCGTACCAAAAGGGTAACCAATGGGACCCTATTACCAAGCCTCCGCTGTCCGTCTGTCTATCAGTGGGCTGTATCTCATGATCTGTAATAGGTAGACAGTTAAAATATTCACAGAATGTGTATTTCTGTTGCCGCTATAACAAATAATAAAAATAAAAGTTAATTAAAAATTAAAAGGGACTCCCCTACTAGAAATGTGTATTACGATGGTATGGAACCCATCATACGCGAGTCCTACTCGCACTTGGCCGGTTATTCGGTTAGTTTGGCAGATCTATCATAAAATGTTGGAGAAAACGAGCATGAGACGTCAAACATGGAAAAATTTAAATAAAATTTGAGAAAATGGAGATTGCATGAACATTTACTTTTTCTTCTTTAAAATCCGACATTAAATATTTTGAACTTTTTTACGCAAAATACACGCTTACAAGTGAAGTTACAGAAACTAACATGGCCTAATCAATTCATAATCAATCAATAAGCCATCATTTATTTTGATTATGTAGGGATACATTTTATGAGAATAATTTCATGTCATGAATCAAAATAAAATTCTTTATAGATTAAAAGAACAATGGAAACATAAGTGATTTCATTTAGCTCATTTTAAACTAGACCTTTTAACTGGTGACTGAAAGTAATGATTTCAGATTTCTGGAACTATAATTTCAAATATGCATAATAAGAATAGCGATTAATGTCCCCCAGACGGATATTTGGTCAGTGCAAAATGGTGCGCACACACAGGTGCAGGGTGCACCTGTCGATGCATAGGAGTAAAAGACCACCAACTTCCTGACTTGAGCTGCTGCTGAGTATATCTTGACAGAAAAACCTAATAAATGGTTTTATCCCAATCTGGGACCAAATGTTAAGTAGATGCACTTACGACCATTAAGACCAACAAGGCAGTAAATAAATGAGATAAAAGCAAATCTTTCCTGCAATAAAACAAGCCTATGTCCTGCAGTGAAAGAAAAGAGATAAAAACATTTATTGTAATACCCCACAAAGATCATTAAGCACTTAAATTTTAACATTTGTAGACACATTTAATAAGAGTGTAAGAAAATTAAAAAAAGCAACAACAATTTGACGGATATAACATTTAAAAAAGTATGTATAGTTATAAATTAGAATAAAAATATGTTCCCCGTATTGTGTGTTGTGGCACATTAGGCAAACGGACCTCATAAGTTATGCGTCGCCGAAAGAACAGCGCTGGTTTTAGTGGGCTGGTTAAAAGTTGATAAAATACTTCTATATAAAGACCATACTATCCATTGAATAAACTCTGTAATCATATTTGCCCAGCTTCTATTATTTTAATCTATATACAAAAATGTAAAACAAACACCTGTTCGCCAAAAACTTCAACATTTGTTTGACTCTCCCCCTTGTTGTATTCCAATGAGCAATCAAGTAAGACTATGCGTGGATTTTCAATGTAGCGTCGCATCTTTGGATGAGTGACATCTTTGTTGAACATTACACCATTCAATACTCGTGATTCCTCAATTGTACCTCCTGGTATCTTTTCTACCTTAGCATAGCTGAAACAAAAGAGAAATGTTTTAATTGAATTGCACATTGAATCTGTGGTTTCATTATTGGTAATTAACAAACAAAGCTCAACAATAAGTCAAAAACATTTATTACTTATTTTTATTACATAAATTTTGTATTGTTTATTCATAATGTTTGGTTTTGTACATGGTAGAGCCACACTGCAGCTATATTATAGTTGTAGCACGAATGATGGCTTGACTGGGGCAGGAGCACATTCTCACAGAATATCAGCGTAAAATAGCAGCTTAATACTGCTGTTTCATATAGTGAGCGTAGAGAACTGGAGACCCTTTTTAATAGAAAGGAGGCTTTCCACCTTACCCCTCAAGAGTGACAATGCATCTCCATTTTAATTCTTAATCAAGGATTGATATAGATGTCTTTGGACCATGCATCCGCTTACCTTCAAGAAGACTGTGTGCTCACACTCATTCTTATTCTATAAAAAATAAACTTAAATAATGCTTAACATTAAGGATTACCCCGGATTTAAGCACCAAAGCATTTATATACTGGTTTACAGACAGGCCCTTAAAGCATTATCTGTTAGATGATTCCTAGACATCTTCTATGTCTGTTATGTCTTTTATGGTATTAGGTGACATGCACTAAATATGTAGTTACTTCCTTAATAATATATATTATGTATATAAAACCCTGTCCGATCCATGTGGACATTTGTGATATGATTCATTTATACAAGTAATCTTTTTCAGAGAACGAATAAACGAATTGTTTATCTATTTAAAATGAGTACATACACACATTTTCATTAAAGTCAAAAGTGAACATAAGGTTTTCTTATTAACTGGCAACTGCAATTTTTAAAATATTTTGAATCAAGAAAATATTGCTTCCCATCTCAGTTTCATTTGTCTCTGTCAACAAAACCCACAGGATGACATGGAATAGTGGATTCTCTTATACCACCACTACATCGTTAATGCATCATCTACACAATTAACTCATGTTCATATAATAATTACCATTATCAAAAATAGTGGTAACCACACTCAACAATAACTTACTTTTTAATATCAACTTCAACTCTGCCGTTATCAACAATAGTGACAGTACTGACTGCATCAAGAGCAATATCAACTGCTAAATCAGCCCAACGACCAATATATTTTGTTCCTATGCAAGAACGAATCTGAAAGAAAAATAAAGCAAACACAACTAAAGTATTGTGGTATTGTGTTAGTTTTATTATTACAATGTCTTCCAGACTGGAGGGTAGTGCTTTCTGCAGTAATGGGTAAAACAATGCTCCAAAATTTGACTGGGCGGCTACTAAGAATAAAAAATCTCTTTTTTCTTTTTTTTTGTTAAAATTTGACCCCCACACTAGGATTTTCTCACATATTTTCTCTAATTATTTCTCATTTTCTCTTGTTCATACAAATAATTATTCCTGGCAAGATTCAAACCTGCGACCCTCAGCTATGCAACTAACCACTGCACCATGGAGCCATCAAATCATTTGATAACATAACAAATAATAAGTTATGATTACACAAGCATTCAGTTACATAGAATCATAGAATAAAAGTATAACATTGATTCACAGTGTCTTATTATTTTATTTACTTAATACCTTCATCACCTTAATTGTCAATTGCAATTTCAGGTACTGATTTAACATATGCTTGCAGGTGAAGTAATTGTTATGAGGATACTGCCATATTCAAACAATGAAATATGATAGCTCTGTACTGCTGTGGATAAGCTTTTAGTTATATTGCTACAGGGCCACAGATTTGAATCCAGCACAGAACAAATGTTTGCATAATATACAAATGTTCCAGGTCTGGTTGTTTGTGTAATAGTTTATAAAAGTACATTTATATATATTTTGGTACTACTTTCCATTGACGTCCATCAAGTTTGGTGTTGATACATATTTTTACACAAAGATTACATTTTTATAAGCACACACACAGAGTTTCAATATGCGGAAACACGTACTTTTTGACAAAAAAATATTGAAAATCAAATATTTTTGCAATATTTATGTCAATTCCTACCGTGAAACTGACGCCATTTTTTATTATTATTGTCAGTAGGGATGTCAATTCTTTCCGAAAATGATCGATTTTTTAAATAGATTCGAATTGTAAGCTGATGTATTCCCAAAAAATCAATTTCTAAAATATCTTTATTTTTTTCATGTTTGCATTTATAATATAAATATAAATCCATTTTATGAGAAAAAATTCCTTACATCATAAAAAAATAAGGAATTCCTTACATCATAAAAAAATAAGGGAACTGATTCAGAAGGATTTCTGTATCTATTTTGAGACTGCTACGTTTCCGGCGCTGCGGGAAGAGCAGCCTCTACGCCTTAGCGTAACAAATCGTAGGCATTGGACGAGCCGGAGCGGCTGAGGCTGGTCACCGAAGGCGACCAACAAGCCAAGAAGCTGCGGAGGCGAGGACAGCAGGCGGAGGTAGTTCCCTGTACACGCCTCCGGCTCTATAAAACCACTCTAGGGGTAGGACATACTTGTACCAGGTGGAGTCAGGGTCAATTAATTCGATTCTTTGACATAAGTTGAACCTAACCTATTTTATTTATCTGCCCTAATAGGTACTGTAAAAACAAATTTCAATAAGCTCATTTATCATGGTATCTTTCTTGTTACATTATAAATGCATACATTAAAAAAATATAGATATTTTAGAAATCGATTTTTTGTGAACCGATACATCAGCTTACGATTTGAATCGATATAAAAATCGACCTTTTTCGGAAAGAATCGACATCCCTACTGACGTCGACAAGGACATTACAAAATGGCGCCTGTTTTATAGTAGGATTAGACATGGTACGTCTTTCCATTGACGTCAGTGGAGTTTGGTGTCGATACGTATTTTTACAGAAAGATTACACTATTATAAGCACACACACAAAGTTGCCGTGTAGTGGCGGTTAAGAATATCCACTACCCCATATCTTCCCGTGGGTGTCGTAAAAGGCGACAAAGGGAAACAGGCAGGAGATGGGCAGCAGCATCTTCCTGATAATAGCCAAAAATAAAAAAAAACTGCGGTTGCCAACCCGCTCGCCAAGCGTGGCAACTATGGCAATATACCCCCCATGAGCAATGACAATAATAAACGGCCCCTAGTCCCCGGCGGCCCCGCTATTCCTGGCTACGGTGGCGACCATGGTAACGGCGGGGCAGGGGGTGCTAAGAATCTCCGGTGGAGGTTCGGTTGCCACCTACGACGACTCGACCTGGCAACATACAACGCACGCACCCTGAGGACTGACGAGAAGATTGTGGAGCTGGAAGAAGAGATAGACAAGTTACGCTGGCATATTATAGGATTATCCGAAGTCCGAAGAGAGGGGGAGGACACGGTAATCCTCGAATCCGGCAACTTGCTCTATTACCGGGAGGGCGACCATCTGTCCCAAGGAGGTGTCGGATTTATCGTCCACAAGTCTCTCGTTAACAACGTTGTAAAGATTGAGAGTGTGTCGACGAGGGTTGCGTACCTTATACTCAGAATCACCAAACGGTATTCGCTGAAGGTCATACAGGTTTACGCACCAACCTCGGCACACCCCGATCAGGAGGTGGAGGAAATGTATGAGGATATATCTAGAGCCATGCATTCCTCCAAAACCCAATATACGGTGTTAATGGGAGACTTCAATGCAAAACTAGGCACAAGAGAGAACGGTGAGCTGAAAGTAGGGAAATTTGGAATAGGGCAACGGAACCCAAGGGGCCAGCAGTTGGCTGACTTCATGGAGAAAGAGGGAATCTTTATGATGAACTCTTTCTTCCAGAAGCGGCCCCACAGGAAGTGGACCTGGTCGAGCCCCGACGGTTCGACAAAAAATGAGATTGACTTCATTATGACGACCAGACGACAACTGTTCAGTGATGTCTCAGTGATCGCGAGGGTGAAAACCGGCAGCGATCACCGAATGGTTAGAGGCACACTGAACCTAAACGTTAAGTTGGAGAGGTCTCGTCTAATGAAGTCAACGCTCCGTCCCCCTCGTGCTCTAATCCAAAGTCCCGAAACCTTTCAGCTCGAGTTACAAAACCGTTTTCAGTGCCTAGAAGACTGCAATGAAGTGGACGATTTGAATGACAAGCTCGTGGAAACTGTCCATGCGGTCGGAGCTAAGTTCTGCAAGACCCGCCGCAGAAGAACACAAAACTCTCCGATCACACTCTTAATCTCATGGCTGTTAGACGGGAGATGAAGCTACATTCTTCAACAGATTTAACAGCATACAGGCAACTGAACAGACAGATCTCCAAATGCATGCGGCGGGACTTACGCAACTTCAATACAGCTCGTATTGAAGAAGCGATCGAGCGGAACCAAGGCTCCAAAGTCTTTGTCAGAGATCTGTCCGCCAGAAAGCGCCAACTGTCAAAGCTGAAGACAGAATGTGGCAGCATCGTTTCCGGGGCACCTGAGATTTTGAGTGAGATTGAGAGGTTCTATGGGCAGCTGTACACGTCATCGTTGGAGCCGCAAGCAAGTGTGAGTAACGATCCAAGAGCGAGTCTTATCCGACATTATTCCGATGATATCCCGGACGTCAGTCTGAGCGAGATTAGAATGGCTCTCCAGCACCTTAAAAACGGCAAGGCCCCAGGCGAGGATGGAATTACAGCGGAGCTTCTGAAAGCGGGTGGAAAACCGGTACTTGAAGTCCTACAGAAGCTCTTTAATTCCGTCCTCCATGGTGGCATTACACCGGAGGCGTGGAGCAGAAGTGCGGTGGTCTTGTTCTTCAAGAAAGGCGACAACGCTCTCTTGAAGAACTACAGACCGATTTCCCTTCTGAGCCGCGTCTACGTGCTGTTTTCGAGAGTCATTACGAATCGTCTCGCGCGCAGACTTGACGACTTCCAGCCTCCCGAACAAGCCGGTTTCCGAAAAGGCTTTAGCACCATAGACCACATACATACCCTTCGGCAAATTGTACAGAAGTCCGAGGAGTACAATTTGCCACTATGTCTGGCGTATGTGGACTATGAGAAAGCCTTTGATTCCGTCGAAATTTGGGCGGTGCTGCAGTCCCTTCAGCGATGCCAAGTTGACTGTCGGTATATCGAAGTGTTGAAGTGCTTGTACAGTAGGGCTACGATGGCTATCCGAGTACAGAACCAGAGTACGAAACCTATCCAATTGCAGAGAGGTGTAAGACAGGGTGACGTCATATCCCCGAAACTCTTTACCGCTGCATTGGAAGATGTTTTCAAGCTTCTGGACTGGAAAGGATACGGTATCAACATCAATGGCGAGTACATCACTCACCTTCGATTTGCCGACGATATAGTCCTTATGGCAGAATCGCTGGAGGACCTAAGCACTATGCTCAATGACCTCAATAGTGTTTCCCAACGGATAGGTCTTAAGATGAACATGGACAAAACAAAGATCATGTTCAATGTCCATGTCACACCTATGCCGGTAGTTGTTGGGAACACTAAGCTCGAAGTTGTTGACGAGTATGTTTACCTGGGACAAATAGTCCGACTAGGTAAGTCCAACTTCGACCGAGAGGTCAATCGACGGATTCAACTCGGTTGGGCAGCGTTCGGGAAATTACGGCACATCTTCTCGTCAGGTATACCTCAAAACTTGAAAACGAGACTGTACACCCAGTGCGTGTTGCCAGTGATGACATACGGAACTGAGACGTGGTCCTTCACTGCTGGCCGGATGAGGAAGCTCAAGGTCGCTCAGCGAGCTATGGAGAGGGCTATGCTCGGAGTTTCTCTGCGTAATAAACTCAGAAATGAGGATATCCGCAGTAGAACTAGAGTGACCGACATAGCCCAACGGATTAGTAAGCTGAAGTGGCAATGGGCCGGCCATATAGCTCGAAGAACCGACAACCGATGGGGAAGAAAGGTTCTCGAGTGGCAGCCTCGTACCGGCAGGCGAAGTGTAGGGCGTCCCCCCACTAGATGGAGTGACGACCTGGTAAGATATGCAGGAAGTCGATGGATGCAGGTGGCTCAGGACCGTGCTTTGTGGCATTCTTTGGGGGAGGCCTATGTTCAGCAGTGGACTTGTGAAGGGCTGTAATGATGATGATGACACAAAGTCTCAATATACGGTACCGCGTAATTTTTGAGAAAAGAATAATTGAAAATCAATTATTCTTGCAATGTTTATGTCTAATCTGCTAATAAACTGGCGCCATTTTGTAATGTCATGGTCGACGTCAATAGGGATGTCGATTCTTTCCGAAAAAGGTCGATTTTTAAATCGATTCAAATCGTAAGCTGATGTATCGATTTACAAAAAATCGATTTCTAAAATATCGATATTTTTTTCATGTTTGCATTTATAATGTAAATATAAATCCATTTTATGAGAAAAAAATCCCCTTCATCATAAAAAAATAAGGGGACTGATTCATAAGGATTTCTGTATCTATTTTGAGACTGCAACGTCTCCGGCGCTGCGGGAAGAGCAACTTCTACGCCTTAGCGTAACAAATCGTAGGTTACAGCAGGCGGAAGCTGCTCCCCCTACGCGCCTCCGGCTCTATAAAACCACTCTAGGTGTAGGACAGACTCGTACCAGGTGGAGTCGGGGTCAATCAATTCGGTTCTTTAACATAAGTTGAACCTAACCTATTTTATTTGTTATCTGCCCTAATAGGTACTGTTAAATAAAACAAATTTCAATAAGAGATCATTTATCATGGTATCTTTCTTGTTTTTCATAAAATGGGTTTATATTTACATTATAAATAGAAACATTAAAAAAATATAGACATTTTAGAAATCGATTTTTTGTGAACCGATACATCAGCTTACAATTTGAATCGATTTAAAAATCGACCTTTTTCGGAAAGAATCGACATCCCCATTGACGTCGACAATGACATTACAAAATGGCGCCAGTTTATTAGCAAGTTAGACGTAAACATTGCAAGAATAATTGATATTCTTTTCTCAAAAATTACGCGTTTCCGTATATTGAGACTTTGTGTGTGTGCTTATAATAGTGTAATCTTTCTGTAAAAATACGTATCAACACCAAACTCCACTGACGTCAATGGAAAGCTAAGCCTTAGACATAAACATTGCAAGAATAATTGATTTAAAATAATTTTTTTCTAATGTTGAAACTTTGTGTGTGTGCTTATAATAGTGTAACTTCTCTGTAAAAATGCGAATCAACACCCAACTCTACGTACATCAATGGAAAGCTAAGCCTATATTTTAATTTTTGTCAATTCCACAAGAACTCTGACATATGATTTGGCATAAGTCAATCATTAGAGCTTCATATGTTGGTTTTCCCTCCTTAATCTAAACAAGATATATACATTTATAAACTTACAACTTCTTTCAATTTATCCCTGTCATTTAAATCAATAGGTACAGAGATTTTATCTTGAAGTAGTTTAATAGCATCTTCCAATGCTTGACGATATTCACGGATTATCACAGTTGGATGAATATTCTGAGACAGAAATGGTTGTGCTACAGCTAACATCTCCCCAGTCAGGACAATGACTGATGTGGTACCATCGCCGACCTGTAAAATACATAATTTTAAAGTGAAATGATATGTTACACCCAAATTTTATTTTACAAGTACTTTTGAATTATTCTTATTCTTAACTTAATGCACCTTTCACTTTAATGTATGTTGCATATTTAAATACCTTATGGATAAAAAAATTATAAAATATAAATAAGTTCAATGGTGAAATATTTCTAACCTCTTCATCTTGTGTTCTGGCAATTTCTATCATTGTCTTAGCTGCTGGATGCTGCACTGTTATCTCACGAAGAATAGCGTTACCATCATTTGTCATTACGATACCACCCATAGGGTCCATTAGCATTTTCAACATAGCTTGCGGTCCAAGGCATGTTCGAATAACGTCCGCTATCGTCTGAAATAAGCATCATGAATGAAAAATAAAACTTTTACAATAAACTAAAGTACGAAAATAATACATGGAAACACATTTTAAAACATAATTACTTTTCCAGCATTAATATTCTCCAACTGAACCTTCCGTCCTGAATCACGTTTTGTGTTTTGGCCTGAAATAAAAATATAACCATGAATCAATGCTTCTATTTCTTCACAATAACTTATGCGCATACAATCACTTACTCAAAACTAGAATTGGTTGCTGCCCAAACATTCTTTACTAATATTATGTACGCAAAATAAATTAAATTTACTTCAGAATTCAGAAACACCGACTCAGTTCTCAAAAATCGCGTGGTGGTCTCCAATGTTGCCAGATCGACAGATTTTAATTAACAATTCTACTAAATAGAGAAGTATAATATATACCAAATTCTACAAAAATAATTTTCTATCAATATTTACTAAAGCCACAAAATACATTATCCGCACTTTAAATAAGGTAAGATTATTTTTTTATCCTTATTTATTTATTTATTTTATTTATTTATTTATTAGTATTACCATCAGAAATTACAACAATAATACAAAGATCATTTTCTTAACAAATTCAACACATTATAATTGTATTTCTTTTATGGGTAATCACAACATGCATTGATTATTTTGTAAGGAATAAAAACTGAATTACATTATTGAATAAATACAAATTATTAAAAAGAAATAGAATATTTGACAATATTATTAATATCTTATATTATATTAATCAAACTATAAAAATCAAAACAATTCCAATGTTATAATTAATAATTAATTAATTCGTTAATTCATAGAAATTGATTAATTTTGATTTGAAGGTGGATAAACTATCGCGATTAATATCGAGGCCAGAAATTTTCGAGAACAGTTCGTTATAAGTGCGAGCCAGTCTGGCTAGAGGGGAATACTTTCCCAAGTTAGACCTATAAAGAGATACATTGAAAAAGGCGTGCGGATTTCTAGGCATTCTTGATGGCACCATAAAGTTAAATAATTGAACTATTGCTGGACAATCAATACTATTATTGAGCGTTTTGTATAGGAACATCATGTCTGAGATACTTCTACGCGATTGTAGTGATGTGATGTTAAATTGTGCCAATGAATCATTAGTTTGATAGCTATTCGAACGGTACGCAAGATGACGCAGCTGTCGCTTTTGTATTCTTTCAATTCTAATGCTATGGATTTTGTAGTGCGGATTCCAAATTTGACTGCAGTATTCTAGTTAATATTATTAATATTATTGCATAATACATTAACATATTAGTTTATTGATTGTGACATGAAAATTCGACAAATAGTAAAGTCAAATCAAGTTAGTAAATTTATATAACAAGTACTTAGCAATTATATAGCTGTCGTCATAGATTCTTACATAGGTAACGTAGCAAGGAATATATACTACCAATCTACTCAAGAAAGGGAAATAATAAGTTCCACAAAGTAAAGCCTGATTCTATTAATAATAAGTAAATCAAAAATGTAATTTTTTTTTATAATGAATATCAAAAATTTACATTTTCATACAAACGCACATTAGGTTTTTTTTTGTCTCGTTGTATTCATGTGAAATTTTATAGAAGCCACTCTATTACAAACTTAATGTATGTTTTAAATGCAAATGTAGTTACATTGATCTTTTAACATTCCTCAATTCAACGGGACAAAAATCTGGATTGCATGCAAAAAATTTTGCCACCATCAATGTATTTAAACTTCGTAAATTAGTACTTTCTACTTTTACGAATCCGTCTTCCATGATGCCTTTTCAATAAAATTCGGAATAAATATCAACAACCTTGAATTTTTTTTTTTCGAAATAACATACAGCATATTAGCTAGTTTACTTAACCAGTGACGTCACGACGGAATCTAATATAGCGAATAGCGTTTTGGAGATTTAACCAAGCACAAATAAAAATATATTTTTAAATTAAATTTTAAAATTTATAATGTATTTTTATGAATAGAAATCAATATTTCTCGTTTACTTTTCACAAAACCTATCATAATTTTTTTTTTTACATAGTGTAAAATACCCGATTACTCACGTACGCTTCACAAACAACATCTCCCTATTTTGTGGGTAACATTGCTAAAATGGCAGGATTGTGATGCATTCTTGAAAGGTTTTGTTTCGCTAATGGCTATGGAGTGTAGAGAGAAGGAGGACCATCTCTATACTATGAAAAGTGTCCCTAAAAACGTGTCCAATAAGGGTGGCGCTGCAGTAGCATAGGATAAGTTAAAAAAAAGCGCCAAAAGTAATTAGAGTAAGATGGAGAAATAAACCAGGACCGACCAATCCGCTTGATTTTGTACTACGTAAATAGTTGAGATTTTGTATACTGGCATTTTACCAACTACCCTACTAGTCATGAAATTTTTTAAATATTTGAATTCAGCTAACTTCACTCCGTTCATAACAGCTATCTTCATATCGTAGTTTTTTAGACGCCAGCGCTATTGTGGTAGGTTTTGGAACCTCTATGTTCAGTAAATAGTAGGACACTTTTTCAACTTTCGCCCCTTATAAGATGGTTCTCCTTGTACTCTACACTCCATACTAATGGCACATCAATACAGGTGTCTATGGAATAGAAAAACGGCAACAACTGCGCTAGCACTTCTTATTAGTTTGTGACAACAATCTTCTAAAAGAAAGAAGGTGAGAATAATATCTTATTCTACCTTATCTTAATGTATGAAGAGTTCAGTTAATATAAGAATTTTGTTCTTATATTAGGACTCTATGCTAGTAATTACTCTGAGAACTACTGTCTAGAGATGAAGCGTATTAGTACTAGTATTATTAGTTAGTTCTAGTATATATATATTATTATATATATATACTAGAACAGAGCTAGGCACTAGGTATTAAACGAGACTAGGTTGCACCTGTTCCAGCTTTTAAAATACTTGATCCACCTAGTCTCACTGTGCCTACGCGTCGCCCAGCACAACGCGGCGGCCCGCTCGAATTCAAGAAGTAGAAGTACCGGCGCGGCAAAGGGAGATAGCATTTTGTTACCATAGTTACTAGTCTGCTTTGCTGCTCACTCGTGTTCGCCTAAATCATTCGTGTGTCAGTCATTTGAATTTGAACTATATTTCAATGTGTATAAAAGTAACACGACGCGCACTCGTGTTGTGCAACATTATATTCTGTCCTATTTAACTACACTATTCTGCAGTTTTTCTATCTTTGTCTTTCAATACTCGGGACTAGTCCCGGGGACTTCACAAAATACTAGGCAGATTTTATAGATTAGGTACTAGTAAATACTCGATGAGAATGAAGACCATATGATGTAGTCGAGTGTCTAGTAAGGACTCATGCGAATCGAAAAATCAAAATCTCGGCACCGTATTGAATGATACCTACTCGACTTATTTAGTAATAGGTTTTCGTAACGAAATTTTGTTATGTGGTTAAAGAACTTTCATTATCATTTCATTCTCATTATCATTTCATTTATTAGACATTAAAGTGTTTATTGTTTAAAAAAAAATTGCAGCAGTGTCGCTTGGGATCATTTTACGGACAATCTCTCAAAAGTATGAGTGTAACATTTGTAAAATATAATTTAGTATTAAAAACTCTTAAGACTGATTTTTCGCGCATATATAAAAAACAATAATTGTAGATAGGTAATTAAAAAAGCGAAACAAAAGTAAGCACTCACAACCCTATACTCCATTCTGATGTCTCCTACTCCCCCGTCTTACTTAACTTCTTATTTCCAGTTGCCACCTGCGTTCTTCGAACAACCTTTTACTAAAGTGTCCCTCTCATAAATCTGGCTTCCTACATTCTTCCTTCACTGTACAGTCTGTTCTCCTCTGGAACGCACTCCCTCTTGAAATTAGAACGGCTAATAATCGTTATGCATTCAAGAAGAAAATTCGTGAACATTACAAAAAAAAATTTAATAAACTGGCAGAATCATCTCATTTGTTGTATTTATTTATGTATTTATATAAATATATAATTATATATTGTATGTAATTTATTATTTTATGTACATAATTTATATATAATACTATGCATATATTAAATAATTTTTGATTTGTAAGTTTATGTATGGGTATATGTATTATATTTGTTTTTAATTTATATACTTTAATTTATATTCTTGTCTTTTAGCGTTTCACACACTTACTTCATATTTTCATCTCTGCATCACCTAAAGGTTGACTGGTAGGGAATGCCTCAGGCATTAAGTCCGCCTATACATTATGTTGTATGAAGTTTAAATAAATAAATAAAAGTCAGATTACTCTTAAATAAAAAAAATATTGTAATCTTTTAAATACGCTAACAACCTAAAATGTAGATAAATCTTAACGTTGACCAGTCATAAGCCTGTGTAAAGTATGAATGGACGATTGACTACTAATTCATTACCTTCACATATTGGGGTTGGCTGTACGTAAAGACTAGCGTAGTTTAAAGTGTATACTATTCCAACAATACCAAACTCTATGCGTACTTCATGGACTAGGTGGAACAGGTATTTGGATCGAGTATTTGTACGGAATTGGACTAAGAGCACCTAGTACATAATTTACCTAGTACGACCCATCTCTACTACTGTCATGAAATGTCATGACAGATGATGGAAAGGGTTGCTATAAGATTTTAACTTATTTTAAACTATTGGTATATTTTACTTACGCAAATCAAAAGTAAGAAAAGGCAATAATTTTAATGCTGATTTTAAATAAATTAAAATAAAAGGATTGTTCGAGTGAGAGAGAAAAAAAGTTATTTCTATACGTTTCAATAATGGTCCAGCCGGGCTATTCACAATCGTCTCGGAAAGCGAATTCGACTCGGATTCGATAACTTCTCGGACCGAAACCAATAAACACTATTCACATTTAACGTTCGGATAAAGGTCACTTAGATACATCCCATAACTATTGTATCGTCATTTAGTTACATGCATTTACGAATTTTGTAGATAAATAGGCTTTTGTATTTTTTTAGAGTAACGCCTATACAAAAACATGATGCAATATTTTGGTGTTAGCCATTGATATCGAATATAAAAAATATATAATTTAACTATATAATAAATAACAAAAAACTGAGATATGTCTCATTTCACAAAGCAGCATATATATATATATATATATATATATATATATATATATATATATATATATATATATATATATATTGTGGTAGAAAACTTATAAAAACACACCTTTCACAAAAATTCAGCT